GAAAGGGCAAAAGTTTACACAATCTTGCTGCAGGGCTTCATTCTTGGGTGGTCAACAGCTGGTAGCCTGAAAGGCACTTGTTTCCGGCTTATCTCTAAGAAATATAATGGGTTTCGACGTCTACACTCTTAAGAAAGAGCTTTGTATAGGGAAACGCTGACAATGAGCAAGTACAAAGAGCAGTAGAAACAGTAAAAGATTAATAGGCACTCTTATGAGGAAAAGATAGGCAGAAACACATCTTTTCCAGGGGTTTTGCCAGCCTTTTTCCAGGAGTAGGCCTCTTAGAAGCCCTATTCTCCGAGGTAGACTTCGGTGAAGTCCCAAAACTCGGAGATAGGTCTCTGAAGCCCCTATCATGGTCTGATAGATGGTTTCCCATGCTAAGCCGACTCCACTGGAGTCGGCATGGCAAATGGCAATACTTCCTAAGGCTATCTACAAATTTAATTCAATACCTATCAATATTCTAACCGTATTCTTCAAGGAAATAGAAGAGGCAATCCAGAAATTCATATGGAACAATAAAAGACCCCGAAGAGCAAAAACGATCCTCAACAGAAAGAACAGTGCTGGAGGAATATCAACACCAAATTTCAAACTCTACTACAAAGCCATAGTAATCAAAACAGCTTGGTACTGGCACAAGAACAGACCTCAGGACCAATGGAATAGAACTGAAATCTCAGAAATGACCCTACAGACCTATAGCCACCTAATCTTCGATAAGGGAGCTAAAAAATAGAATGGAAGAAAGACAGCCTCTTCAGTAAATGGTGATGGCAAAATTGGTCAATCACTTGTAGAAAACTAAAGCTAGATCCTTATATATCACCCTGCACCAGAATCAACTCCAAATGGATCAAAGACCTCGGAGTCAAAGCAGACACTCTGAAAACATATAGGATAGAATAGGAGAAACCCTAGGACTCCTTGGTACAGACCGAAATTTTCTTAGTAGACACCCAGAAACTACAAATCAAAGAAAGGTTGGACAAGTGGGATTGCATGAAATTGCAGAGTTTCTGCATGGCAAAGGACATGGCAAGATCTAATTTTCTTTGACATACTTTAGTTATGTTGCTCAGAGTATTCAGAGTTCAAGATCCTGATTTGGGGCACATTTCACTATGCCTGGCTAATAGTTTTCCCAATGATTAGACTTCATTAAATCCCTTCCTTAAAAATCAGATTTGAGGGAGGGAGGAAGGAACTGGGGAGGTGGGGAAGGAAGGGATGGGAGGGGAAAACCAAAGGAGGAGGCAACAATGGTGGATAAGAAATGTACTCATTACTTTACTCATGTAACTGTGACCTCTGTATAATATCTTTACAATAAAAAAATATATATTTAAAAGATCAGAGTTTAAAGGGTGGGTTATTTAAGAAGTTTTCTAAAAAGCATGTTTATATTTAATTGATTCAACCTGTTATTTTCTATTAAATTTTGCTACTAACTTCAGTAGTCCTTTCATCTTAAAATTACCTTACTCAATTCCTCCCAAGAGTACATTCTGATAATCTGGTGACCTCTTATAAGTTTCTACCTCTTAAAAATGGTACCTGTGGCTGGGCGCCAGTGGCTCACACCTGTAATCCTAGCTACTCCGGAGGCTAAGATTTGAGGGTTATAGTTTAAAGCCAGCCTGGGGAGGAATGTCAGTGAGACTCTTATCTCCAATGAACCACAGAAACCAGAAGTGGCGCTATGGCTCAGGTGGTAGAATGCTTGCCTTAAGCTGAAGAACTGAGGGATAGTGCCCAGGCCCACCGCCAAAAAAAAAAAAAATGGTACCAGTTTAACAGTCCACTCTGGGAATCAGGCTTTTAACACATCAACCTTTGTATTACACTTAAAACACGTTCAAAATACTGTAATGACTATAATATGACTGGTTGTACTAACTTTTAGTACATTGTTTGTTGTATGTAAAATATTAAAGAAACGATGTAGCATCTTCCCATATGGCTTTATTGTATAATGGATCAGTCTTCATGTAAAAATATTCCCATAGGTAAGAAGTACTTTCTCATGTACTATTTCTTCTTCAAAAACCAATGTTCTTCTATCCTGTTTGACTTTTGTTAAGAAAGAAATGTTATATGTATTTAAAACAGTGGAGAAGTGGGAGTTGGGCTCTAAATTCCATTAGTTTCATTAGTTTCTTAAATACAAACAAATAAGGTTTATTTACAATGGAGACCACTATTGTTACATTTTAGCATTCTTTTTAATGTCCTTATCTTAGTAAATGATACTCTTTTGTTTCTTTTTTTTAATTATTAATGCATTTTTATTGTGAAAATACCATACACAGGGGGTTACAATTACATGAGCAAGGTAATGAGTACATTTCTTATCAAGCATTGTTGCCTCCTCCTTTGTTTCCCCTTTCCATCCCTGCCCTCCCATTGACCCTCCCACCCCTGTCGATATTTTATTTCCTTCTCTGTGTCTAGCACTGCCTGGACAATGTAGACATTAATTTCCAAATCAGAGTTTGCCTTTGGGAACCTGAACACCTTGAGTGAGATCCTAGATCAAGGCATATTTGCCTGAGCACTTACTTCCAGTTTAGTTTGCTTTGCGCTTTGCTTGACTAGCATCCTTTTTGTCTTAGAACTTATTTCATCCATAGGACTTCCCCCATGGTTTGTTTCTTCTCCCCGTCATAGCCTTAATCATTACACAGAATTGTTGGAACATGCACTGTATATGTCTGACATGGCTTCACATTTTCCTCTCTTTTCTTCATTCCATTCTGTGTCCTTTAGTATCTAATGTAGTGCCTAGAACATAGGGACAGAGGCAGCACATGAAGACTGAGTGAAGGCTACATTGTTCTCAGCAGCTGCATCCTCTGGCATGCAATATAAATAAAATTCAAAATCAAATAAAAATTGAATCTTTGTCATGATGTCTATAGAAAGATTCTTGACTATATTATAAAATATGTATTTCTCAGTAATTCAATCTCAACTATAGGATACACATATATTGCCTATAACAAAACAACTAAGAGGTGTGGTTAATCAAATATATTCAGGATTTATGAATATAGATATGAACATTTAATACAAACTGCAATTGATTTTCTTAAATTTGGAATATTTAAAAATTTAAATATTTTAAATATATTCCAAATTAAGTGTATACAAAAAATATTGGAAACATTTGAATTTGAAATTGGAAAATATGAGATAATTAAAATTAAACGTCAATTAGACTTTTGTTCTTCATATATATTATATATTAATATATATATTAAGTGGGGAGGAAATTAGACACTTAAGAAAGTGGTCAGGAATTCTTTAGATATGCAGACATATTTAACATAAAACCGCAGGTAAATATAACAGTTCAATTGTGTTTGAAAAATAGAGGGGTGAGGGAGCACGAAACTTCATACACTAATAAAAAAATCCAACCACTTGTCTTATATTTGTTTTGTTTAGAAGGTAATGGTGACTCTGAAGTAGAAAAATATTGATTCATCATTTTATAGCCAGAGGGTTATTAATACATTTTGTCTTTTTTTCTTGTAGCACACTGATTTATGTCAGTACATGGACAAGCACCCTGGGGGACTCCATCCAGATAATGTGAAGGTAGGAAAAGAGATCTTTCAGCTAATGGTTAGCATTTTTCACGTGTATTTTTGTGTCTAACTTTAACATCTTGGTCATAATTAATTTTAAAGAGCTTTCTGTATAAAAATAAGTAATAATAAGCAATGACTTCACATTAGTTGGTAGAAACTGTGTTCTAACGGCAAATATTGTCACCACAGAGTGTCTATTTGACCTTAATTCTTTTTTTAATGGAATATCTTTGCCATCAATAGTAGGAAATGTTGGAATGTTACTTTAACAGTATCAATAGTAGTGGGAAATCTGGTTCTCCCTTGGAATCCCAAACTAAAGAATAATTGATTTCAACATAAAGCACTGCATGATCCAAAACAGGGTTCACAATGGGTTTACAGTGCACACATTTTCATTGGTTTGCACAAAGAGACTGAAACAGGCCTGTTTCCTACTGGTTTGTTGTTGTTTGTATCAGAACTTTAGACTTGAGACTTGTGTCCTCCCTCAAATATTACGCTCATGGGGTGCTTTGCCACTTGAGTCACACCTCTAACTCACTTTTTCTGCTTGTTAGTTGGAGATACAGTCTCTTGAACTTTTCTGCCTGAGCTGGCACCAAACCATAATCCTTAGATTTCAGACTCCTGAACAGTGAAGATTATAGATGTTAGCTACTAGTCCCTTGTCTATTGTTATTTTCCCCCCCTCCATTTCTCTTAGTAGAAATTTGATAACTATGGCCTTGTTTGTGATCATATGGATAAATATCCAGCTAACAGCACAACTATGTTTATCTGCAGCATTATTCACCATAGCAGTGCGCGCGCAACACACACACACACACACACACACACACACACACACACACACACACACACACACACACACACACACACACACACACACACACACACACACACTCTGGAATCCTGTTTTTCCATCAGAAAGGATGACACTGCCCCATTTGTTAGGAAATGGAAAGACCTAGAAAAAAAAATCATATTAAGTGAAGTAAGCCAGAGCCAAAGAAATATAGATCCCATGGTTTTCCCCTTGCAATAATTAGTATACGTCTAGGATAATTTTATCAGATGAGCAGAAAAGCTCAAAAGCTATGTACATATGACCAAATAAGATGATGCTAAGTGAAATGAATCACAAGATGTGTATACAAGAGGTCTTTCTATGTTGTTGCTTTTAATGTACTATGTGATTTTTTCGTTTCCTTTTATGTTCTTTCCCCTATAGTATATCCCCTGTTGTAAATGTACTTGATTTTGGTACCCTGCATCTTGTAAATATATTTATCTAATTTGGGGAGGGGAAGGGGAATAACAAAATGCTGAAACAAGGACACGGGATGACCCATTGAAACAGTGATACCCACAAGACAGTATATTGGAAACGAACTTTACATTCTGGACAAGGGGAGGAGTGAGTGAGCTGAGGGAAGGAAGGGATAGTGGGAGAACAACAAAGGAGGGCAGAACAATGCTCGACAGGAAATCTACTCAGTTACATGAATAAGGCAGCTGTAACCCCTCTGTACAGCATCTTTAAAATTAAATTTAAAAAAAGAAATTTGATAACTAAGAGCTACAGTTAACAGCCATCTTGGGAAATGGTTCCAAAATTTCAAGCTTAAAGCAGTTAGAAGACTCTTCTTAATATTTGTTAGGGATTTAAAAGATATCAACTAATAGGACCAATGATGTATTTACTTTTTGAAGTTTACTATATTTCTTTATTTGAAGAACCACTCAGAAAGTCACATTATTTTTATTTTTTTATTTATTATTATTATTTTTTTGGGTCCGGTTGTGGGGTCTGAACTCTGGGCCTGGGCGCTGTCCCTCAGCTCTTCAGCTCAAGGCTAGCGCTTTATCACTCGAGCCAAAGCACCACTTCCGGCTTTTTTCTTTTTGATTATGTGGTGCTAAGGAATCGAACCCAGAGCCTCAGGCATGCAAGGCAAGCACTCTACTACTGAGCCACCTTCCGAGCCCCAGTCACATTATTTTTAGAAACAGAATTTAGTGAATAAATTTGAGTTATGGAAAAATTTAAAAATATAGCCATTTAAACATATAACAATAAAAGATTGAAACAAAATTGAAGAAATTTTCCAGAAAATAGAGGAATCTATATAGAAATAGGAAAATACCTGCAAATGGTAAGTCTAGTTCAGCAGATCATTTTTTTTCTTTTTTCTTTTATTTTCTTTTATTTATTTTTTTTTGTGAACATACTGTGCAGAGGGGTTACAATTACATGGGCAGGATAATGCGTACATTTCTTATCAAGCATTGCAGCCTCCTCCTTTGTTTACCCTTCACATCCTAGTTCAGCAGATCTTATATCTGAATAATTTGCAGGAAATAGGAAGGAATCATTAAACTAGTAATTTTTAAAATATACTTTCTCCATTTGTGTAGGTTATGAATATTTAGATCAAGAAGGCTCAGTAAATTCTGGAATATTCAGTGAAAATTCTCTGACAGTGATGTTAATTATTGTAAAATTTTGGAACACAGGGTCAAAGAAAAATACTACCAAAAGGGTCAGGTTTATTACTACATGAGATGAAGAATGCAGAGTCATTATACTTCCCAAAAGCAAAACCACAAAGAAGGTGACTTTGGAATAATAGCTTGAAATTTTGGATGTAAAATTATTTCCAACCCAGAGTTCTATACAAACTCTGGATATGTGAAAGTAAGTTGATCATTTAAGTTGCGTAAGGATTTGAATTTTTTTCATACCTTAAATCCTTCTCAGAAAACTCTTGAAAATGGACTCCACTAAAATTCAGGCAATCAAAGAAGGAAGAGACTATCAATAGACAGAGTCTATGACAGAAGACAGGTTGAGGAAGACCCCTGAAAAATTAAGGGACTGAAAGGTGACAGGTAGGCAAAAGACTGGGAAATTTTCTCTCTAGTAGAGACAGGTTCAAAGTCTCCAGAAGACATTTCAGGATGAATATAAACTAGCCAGGCACCAGTGACCCATGTCTGTAACTGTAGCTACTCAAGAGGCTGCATTCTCAGGTGTGCCTGAGGTTTGACGCCAGCCTGGGCAGGAAACTCTTACCTCCAAGTAACCATCAAAGAACCACAAATGGAGCTGTCATTTAAGTCGTAGAGTGGTAGGCTTGAGCAAAAAGAATTCAGGGACACTACCCAGGTCCTGAATTCAAGCTCCAGCACCAATACCAAAATATGAACATAAAAAATACACAATATTTTTGAGCTTTTTTCCCCTTATTATATATATGGAAAAGAGTTTGGTGCTGAATTGGGAAATAACGAACCAAAGAAAACTAAACAGAGGAAAGCAAACCATCAAACAAAAGGTCTAGGTCACTTCTAAGGTCCTATAAAAATACATTTACACAAGGGGAAAACATTTATAATAAGCTATATGATTAATCTGTTGTAAGTAACATTTACATGATCATAATTTAAACATGGAATGCTGATGTGATTAAGAATAACACAAAAATCACTTTGGGGAGGATGGTACTGGGGGTTGAACTCAGGACCCCATGCCTATAGACACTCTACCATGTGAGCCTTATTTTCAAGGTAGGGTCTCCCTTTAAGCCTGGGGCTATCCTGAGCTGATCCTCCTACCAGTGCTTCCTATGTCAATGGGGATATCAATAGATGCGCAGCAGTGCACCCAGCTATTGTGCTTCTACCGTAGCTGGGATAACAGATAAGCACCAGGGCACCCTACCTTGGTTGAGATAGAGCCACTGGAACTTTTATATCTGGGTTGGCCTTGAATTCTGATCCACTTATCTCTGCCTCCTAAGTCACTAAGATTACAGAAACTGACCCACAAAAATCACTGTTTTCAGAGCTCCTGTGATACCATTTTCATTCTTGGGCCAGCATTTCCCAGATCATCGATCATTCTGGTTCCAAATTTCATAGAAAATATATTTCAGGACCATGGAAATGAGCCATTAAAGAGCTTTCTGGGTCCTTGTCCAGTGTTTTCTTCCCTAAGCCACATGACGGATACATTAAATTACTCTAATGAGCTTGATTTATTGTGACTTTATAAATATTCAGTCATGTAGGTTTATCATAATTTTCACATTGAAGATAATAGTGATATCATCTCTGAGGTTATGGAAACTGAAAGTAGATGCAGCCTGTTAATATTTTGTGTTCCGGTGTCTGAGCTGCAGAGGTTGGGTGCAGACAGCCCTTATTACTGTGTTGATTTCTGTGGGAGGCCACTCACCTAATTATTCATTGCTGTGCCCTCACTGTTTTGTTGAGCCTGAGCTCTCCTCCAGGGTAACATTTAGGGTCTGCATTGCAGCTGAAATTATTCTCAAAGAAATCAGACTATGACGGTGATAGATGTCTCATGGATATTTTTTGATGCATTAACATTTTTTTCATGGGGTGATATTTATGGTCACATAAATCTATGAATACAAAATGAAGGGCATAAAATAATATTTACTCAGTGAACAGCTGTTCATAATGCTGTGTGGGATCTTAGTTTAAAAAAAACCAGTTGAGATGAAATAAGTCACTAATAGTTCTACCAAAATTTGAGGCAATCTGAAAATTAGGTGAGATTAGCTGTTACTTTTAAAACACCATATAATTTTAACAATTCTGATGCTTGGTGTTTGGCTAAATGATCATTATTACATGATCAGAATATAATGAATCCCGGATATTTGTTACAGTGGTTAAAGGATAAACATAGTTATCAAATTATTTTCCTCCGAAATTTGCCAGGCTGCATTAATTTGCCACATGATAATACACAGAAATATTTTTAACATTTTAATAAATGTACGTATTTTGTTTTCATTTCATATATATTTGTTTACTGTAAAGCTTTGTATATCATGCACATAAGATGAGCAGATTGTTTCGTAATGTAATTTTGGTAGAATTTCAAGCATTATTGAAGAGTAGAAGCTAAAAAATAATTTCACAGTAAAACATGAAATAGCTTGTTTATATTCTTTGTGAAATATTTGTGAA